TACCTCAAGCTGAGTTTGCAGGTAACCCAAACCTCACTTCGTCATCAAAACTGTAGGCTCCCGCCTTGAAGCGTTACTGTCGTGGTAAGGTTGCCCGATGATTGAGGGCATCGTGCTTATTCAGCTCCATTATTTTGGCATCTGCAGCTAACACGCTGGCGTCAGGGTGGTGGGAGAAAGAGTTTGAGGAAGCGTCTGGAGGGGTCGGTGCTGATGGTAGCGGATAAAATCCTTGTGCATATTGCAGAAGAAGAAGCAAGAGGCAAGCGAGTGGTACTAACAGAGAGACCACTCCTTGTTGTATAAGAGCTTACATTACCGGTTACCACTCTTGGTAATGGGCAAGTAATTTGAGTTCGGAAAAGAGTGACAGAACTTTCCCGCCAACCTAATACCAGCGGCCGGAGCCAATCAATACCAGGCAATGTTATTAAACGACGCACTCCTCCTAGTCTTCCATAGTCCCTCAGAGCAGTAACTCGTCATAGCTCGTTGACGCCTACAGCGTTTCATCGCGAAGTGTAAACACTGCCTTTGAGGCCACCGAGGTAACCGTAATGTGGGCCTAGACGCTGAGCACAATGTATCATTTTCTCAGCACTCATTCCAGGACGCAGTTGATTCCACATTGTTATACTGTAGTGTGGCTCGCTGACAGCCTTACAGTCTTGCTCGCTGCGGACACTGGACCATGTCAAGGGTTTAGCAGGGCGCCAACCCGTTCTTCACCAGCTGTGGAAGCTGATAGGCGGCCACATTCGGCGGAGAACGCCAAACTTAACTCTCCGCCAACACGCCCCAGCATCTGCAGCGAACAAGACCGTACCATCTTCATCCCCCACCATTTGAGGATCAAACTTTGAAGCGTAAGCCACACATCCCAACTGGTTGACCAGAAAAGCTTCCTTTTTTACTTACTCCGTCTCCCAGAAGAAGTGCATGTCGCTCTGTAACTCCTCTCAATGTGCGGGAAAACTATGTCAAATAACAGAGAGGAGTGAGATCAGAACACTCCTTTCGACGACAGTGCAATCAGCTTCCCTTTTCCTCCTCTGTTATGGAAGGCGAACGGGTATAAATTCTGGGGACAGACTCACTTGGTCAAGGAACACTAAAGGTGGATTTGTTGGTTCATCAGAACCTGCTGCATTTAAGTGAGCTCGGAACATAAATGAAACACTCTTACAAATAACAATGTTTGTCCAAAGTTGATGATTCGCTAAGAGCTCCTGAGAGTAGACCGGTCAATCGAAGTCTTCATGACTCCTTCTGAATAGGTTGCATTTTAGTCCATATCCTAAACGATAGGGCGGGGCGTGGAGTTGAAGAAAGGCCTGGGGAAAGCCACATTGGCCTTTTCCACCAAAGATGCCATCGTGAACCTGAATCCACAACAAGTGGCGAGAAGGGCTGTTCTGGGCCTCCTACGCTCAACCTTTTGCGGGTTCTTGACTGTAGCAACAGTTTATAGTATTCTGGAACGGCGCGATTCGGCGACGGGGGGGGGCATTTTGCTCTTTCAATGCTCCACTAGTCCCGGTTTGCATACTTTACACAGTAGGGCTGGTACCGGACTCGTTTGAAAGGGAAGCTTTCAACTGCTCATCTGCACGCCCCGAAATTGGCCGGTTGGCATTCTATCACCATTTGGTTCCCTTGAATATCGATGGTAGCTTACTAATTTGTCATAAACTCAACCACTCTCCAGAACATTGCGCTAACGTAGTTGAGAGGGGACCCTTCGTTGCGCCCCTGTATTCTTTACCCAAAAAGACCTAGGGCGCAGATGATAGTGGCCGGAGGATAATCCCCCAATCCTCACCGAGCCTGAGCCTTGGTGGGAGAAAGA